ATATTAACTAACATTCGCAATATACATATATATATTAAATTATAAATCTAATTTCCCATATTAAAAATGGTTGTGTATTTAATGTATAAACTTTCAAATTTATTATAACTGATTATTATTTTTAAATTCGAAGTTGAAAGTATAAGGTTCTATTAAATACTGTATTTAATTATATATATTAAATCCATTAATTTTAAAATTCAATATTCAGTGGTTCAACGTTTTTATCTTTTTAATAAAAATTCAAATGTACGCCATTTGTTCGACACTTTCGTTATTTTTTTAGTGCACCTTCAAGACTCACAATTCTTTGTTATATTTGATGATTCTATTGTCATGACTAAGTTTAGGGCATGACTCATACCACGCTGCACAATGGTATGATATCGTCCAGAGCATAAGCTGTTATGGCTCTGCTCCCCAAAAGCTCATATCAATGAAATAGTATTCTCGATTATAAACTTAGAATCATTCCCTAAATTAACCAAGTTATTCATTTTCAATAATACTCCCGGCAATTATTGGAAGAATGTGAGACACAACAATTTGTACCAATGATGTCGTTGAACCATTCAACAATTTTAGTATCGAAAATTAAATAAAATAATTAAATAAGAGATGTCAGTGGCATTTTCGAAATTAAAGGGATTCACCATGGTTAAAGTAGCAATCGTCTGTCCCTTTTTGCTCAACTTTTCCATCTCGGAAAAGTATGAAAAGAAGGGCAGTTTCGAAATATATTGAAAACATGAGTGGCAAATATTGGGATGCCTCTCACGCGGGAGAGGAAGCGTGAGTGCCACGTGCGGAGGTCAGAAAGCAACGTGTAGAAGGGGCATGCAAGTAAGGGAGGAGTGCGCGTGGGCGTAGGTTACACAGTTAACGGCGGCTGGAAGAGCGAGAGTGAATAAGGCCAAAGATAGGGTAAGGACGTGTTTGGACGCGAGAGTGGGGCCAACGGAGAAAAAGACGTCAAATTGGAAAAAACCAGAAGGCGGAAGACCGACCGTGTCGCGGTGGGTGTGAAGAGAGAAAAATCACTCGCAGAGCCTACACACCCACCACCCCCCCCCCCCCCCCCCCCCCCCCCCCCCCCCCCCCCCCACCCCCTGCCTCTGTTTTTTACAGGAGCAAATTCCGTCGCTCTCTTCCCCTGTTGCGATTCTCACAGACGAAGGACACAGAAATCTGTACGGTTGCAGAGCTTTAGTTTCTACCAAGTGGCTTTTGTGTGGGTTTTCTCGGCACAGGAGACATGTCCGACGACATCCCGACATCTTCCTTCTTTGTTGCTGCCTAGCTTCTCGCCAAACCGCTTTGTCGGTCTCTCTTAATGCCATCGCTACTGTTTACTTTCATCCCCTTCCCTGTTTCTCCTGTTCTTAGTATCGCCTTTTCTTCCAGTCCGTTATTGCTTCCGATGAACTGGATTCTCCATTATTTCGGGTTTAAAATCTTAGTTGCTCTCTTTTGTTTGCTGATTTTTGAATGCATGTGGAGTTTGAGATCACCGCGATGTTTGTTTTCTGATGCCTGAGCCAGGGCTGTTGTTGTTTGGTTTAAAGCCTCAGTTCTTGTCCTATTGCGGCCTTTTAGGTTCTGGATTTTGCTCATATTAATGCATTTTCCATTTCTGTTGGGCTGTTCTTCCCATTCATAGCTTCATCTGAATTGGATTTGCTAATAATTACTAGTTTTCAGTAGTTACCGCTGGTTTCGTTTCATTTCTTGGTGTTTTTTTTTTCTTCTTTCAACAAGTAATTTTCATTGTCAGATATTTATAAGTATGCTTACGTTCATCTTTCTCCCTTTTTAATGAGTGCCACTGAAGTTTCTTTACTGTTCCTTTGTTACCAAGCTTACTGTCTTGCGTTTGGATACTCAATCGATTAAGACTTGTTGTGCTTACTTGTTTCAACTACTGGCTATGTTATGCTTATTTGTAAAATGATGTGATGCTTGATCAGCCATGAAGAATGAATTAAATAGATGTGAACAATGTGTACACTGCTTTAATATCTTGTTTGGCCTTGATTTGTGGTCGCAGAGTTGTTGATGAACATGATGGCCATTCCACTCAAAAACTTTTCCCAGAAAAATCTTGATCAGGACTCTGTGCATTCAGTATTTCCATTTTCAGTTGATTGTACGCCGTGGCGGAACTCGAATGAACGGAAGATCCCATTGCCTTTATCTGATAATACAACTCTTAAACTTGAAACACCTCCACAGCATCATCACAAGCATTTGGGCTTTCAGTTACCAGATCAGGAGTCATCTACAGCCCATTCAATTGGTCAATCTCTGCATAAAGTGTGTACTATGGAGGTGCAAAATGCTCAAGAGCAATGCATTTCTTCTGAATCTGGTACTTGCATGCTTAGATTCCTCTGTTTATTTGTTGTTCATTATACATTTGTTTGATTATTAGTAGTGTGGCTCAGCTCAACACTGATAACAATATCAGAAATTGAGGAAAATGGGAATATGTGGTTTACTTGGTATAGTACTGCGGAAGCTAAGGCACTCAACTTTAACTATGTTGATTGCCTCTACCGCTTGGCACCCTTAAGAGTCTCAGTTAAAGAGCTGGTAGATGATCTGCCGAAGGGCTAATGTAACGACCCAATCCCACCGCTAGTAGATATTGTCCTCTTTGGGCTTTCCCTTTCGGGCTTCCCCTCAAGATTCTTAAAACGCGTTTGCTAGGGAGAGGTTTTCACACTCTTATAAAAGAATGCTTCGTTCTCCTCCCCAATCGATGTGGGATCTCATAATCCACCCCCTTCGGGGCCCAACATCCTCGCTAGTACTCGTTCCCTTCTCCAATCAATGTGGGACCCTCCCAATCCACCCTCCGAGGCCCAACATCCTTGCTAGCACACTACCTCGTGTCCACCCCTTTCGGGCCTCAGCCTCCTCACTGGCACATTACCTGGTGTCTGACTCTGACATCAACTGTAACAGTCTAAGCCCACTGTAGCAGATATTGTATTCTTTGGGCTTTTCCTTTCAAGCTTCCCCTCGAGGTTTTTGAAAAGCATCTGCTACGGAGAAGTTTTCACACCCTTATAAAGAATGCTTCGTTTTCCTTCTTAACCGATGTGGGATCTCACAGCTAATACAAACTATTTGTACTCCTCAAATTTGTTCTATTTTATTTCTACTACTGCTGAAGGATATTAAAATTATGAAGGATATTTTCTGCCGTAAAAATTGTTCTGCCTACTAATTTCTCGTTATCTTTTATGTTTTCGACGTTTTATCCAACCTTTAGTTATTCTTCGTGCTTCAGGTCAAGAGGAAAATTGTGGCGAGAGTGTGGAGAATCAGATGAAACCAGTTATTTTGTTTAGCAACCCTGAATTTATGTTCAGTACTCCCCAAGTTGATGGCAGCCAGCCAATGGTAGGTTGAATTTTGTTATTTGATTTCCGTTTCTGATTTGTTGCTAGGCTAATAATCTCTGTTTCTCTCGATTTCAGACTCGAGTATCATACCCATACATTGATCCTTACTATGGGGGGCTATTGTGCAGTGCCTACACTCAGCAGGCTATTAATGTAAGTTTCGTACATCGATCCTTTGAACTTTTTACATTGCAAGTCGATTAATACACCCGAGCTGTCTGCATTTTATCTTCTCTTATGTGGTTCTTGATTGATGTCAATGATTTGAATCTCATAAGAATCAAGCTCAAGTAAATACCAATGTTGTTGGGATGGCACCTGCACGAGTCCCCATTCCGCACGCTCTTGCTGAAGATGGGCCCATCTATGTCAATGCCAAACAATACCATGGAATTCTTAGAAGGAGGCAGTCTCGGGCAAAGCTCGAGTCTCAAAACAGAGTCATAAGAAACCGAAAGGTATCCCTTGTGAATTTTACTCCCTTTTTCAGTTGATTTTGGACACTTCCATCAATAATCAATTGGAATGGAATCCTTAAACAGTTAAATATGTTTCAATGAGAAGAACTCGAACTCGGGAACTTGGCAAGCTTTAAGAAAATGCTGTAGTGTATTTGTTTGTGAAGTTTATATGAATGATCTGATCCTTCCTTTCAATTCTCTACTAGACAATAATACCATTTCACTTATGCAGCCGTATCTCCACGAGTCTCGACATCTTCATGCGCTGAACAGAGTGAGGGGATCTGGTGGACGCTTTCTCAGCTCAAAAAAGAATCAATCACCTGTTCAATCAACTCCTTCGACCACCTTGAGCCAACAGATGAATACACCAGACTTCAATACATGTAGCTCTGAAACGAGCGACCGTGGCATGAGCTCTGAGATCACGAGTATCTCTAATGGTTCAGTGAGGTTCGGGCGGTCGGACAGTCAGCTCTCCGCTCTCTCTTCCAGGATGGGTGGAAGCATGGAGCAGTATAGCGGAGACTTAATGCGTGGTGGAAGATAGAACCGTGTTATTAAACTAGAAGACAGGCAAATCATCCTTGGCTTTGTTAGTTATTTATGCTTTGTGATTTCAGTTCGGAATGAGCAGAAACAAACCAACAGTAATGTACTATTGAAAACGTTGGCATGATGCCCTTCAATAATTTGCTTGTGTTTAAAACAAACCATCTTTTAGAAGCAGGTGACAATGGTTTTGGGCTTACGTGGATTTGTTTGTAATGACAATATGGCAAGGGTATTTTTGTAATTTCGACAGTGTTTTGCCTTATTTGGAATTTCATATTCTGCGTTAATTGGCTGACACGTGTACGGAAAGTACTTGATATTACCCTTTATTTACAGTCGTTTTGACTTGGCGGCATTTCTCGCCATAGAACCAAATTTTAAAAATTGATTTATAAATACGCCAGCCAATCAGAACTTGCCACGTCAATGGATTTGAAGAAGCAACAAATCTCAGCTCGCGCTAATGCATGGTGTATCTTTGCCGCCGGTGTTTAGAAAAAGCTAAAATGAAATTATTAATTGTTTATTCGATTTAATTTATTTTAATTTTAATTTTAATTTTTTGTTCCCTCTCCTTTGAGAGAGAGAAAGAGCCGCCCAATCTTCAAAACCGCAACTGTAAGAACTCTCTCCTGCTACTGGATTTTCTTGGGCGTTCGGTTTTGATTTCTTGGCGCCTTTCTTCTCCATTGGTAATCAACCATTGCAGAAGTGCCTTTCTTGTTCTTCTTATGCTTTTCACTCTCCGTTTCTTCTTTCTTCCGTTTTCGATTTCCATAACCATTTCTCGCTGTTTGTTTCTTCTTTTCTGAATTCAGCGGACTTGGATTCCAGAAAACATGGATGGGGGAGTAGCTTACAATCCTCGGACTGTGGAAGAGGTCTTCAGGGACTTTAAGGGCCGTCGTGCTGGAATGATTAGAGCTCTCACCACCGGTCTTGTTCAATCTCACTTTTCCTTCTCCTCCTCATCTATTTCTGTCTTTTTGTTTTTAATTTTTAAGGTTCTTCTACAAGGCTTTCATGGCGCTCTACATTTCTAGCTAATTACTCTTCTCTCTTGCCATCTTTTTGCAGATGTCGTGGAATTTTATCAGCTTTGCGACCCTGGTCTGAGCTCCATTCTTTGTATTCTTTCTATTTTACATAACTTGTGGGTTTTCGTTTACTTGCAATTGCGGTTTGATAGTCAACACTGTACTTTGTGTGTGTTAATTAATATTCTTTTGAGATCTTCTCTGTGGGTTATTCTCTTGATTCGTGAATTTTTGGTAATGAAAAAACACGGTTACTTAATACTACTGATAGTGAGAGCCTCTAATTTGGTGAGATTTCAAAGAGCCACCTACTTCACACACACACACACACACACACATTGTAGCTGGAATCTGTGTTTTACCAGCTTTTTTATTTGTTATTTTCTTGGCAACATATTTAAAGACGTGAAATGTGAATGATACTTTAAATTTTGTTTGTAATCTCCAACTGTAGTTTCGAAGCTGGAATGTAGTAAGTTATTTTTATTGGAACTTCATTAGCTGAAGTTGGTAACATAAATACGTGCTTAGCTATGAATTTTCTTCGTACTTTCTGTTCTTGGCCACTCGAAGAATAAATGCAGTAAACATTGGGGACCCAATTACCTTTTTTAATAGCACTCCATGTAGCTATTTCTGCTTTTACGGACATCAGTGAACTTTTCAACTATTTACACAGCTGTTTCAAATTTCAGAGAAGGAAAACCTCTGCCTATATGGACTCCCTAATGAACAGTGGGAAGTTAATTTGCCTGCGGAAGAAGTACCTCCAGAGGTTCCGGAACCAGCATTGGGCATTAACTTTGCTAGAGATGGGATGCAAAAAAAGGATTGGCTATCCCTTGTTGCCGTTCACAGTGACGCATGGCTTCTTGCTGTGGCTTTCTATTTTGGTTCTAGATTTGGCTGTGATAAATCTGACAGGTACTTTCTGAACTAAATTTCCTGGCTGTCGCTGCCGCTGGGGCACCACAGTTACTTGTTACTACGTGTATGGCTTCGGTTATGAAAATACAAAAGTTGTCGCTGATATTTAAAAGGAAAAGGAAAACAAATTATTAGTTGTGCAGAGCGGTACTCTGACGTCTGGCATATCTCTTTATTAATTATGCATCTACCCGTTCTTTGAAGACTTCACAATATGGAGACTGACTGATGGGTCATTAATCTTTATGTGTATAAGTGTTGCATTTTAACTGATAAATTTGGGTTGAATTGGTAAGATTATGAAGGCTTAAGTAAATCCTGTGTTTCTCTTGCAAAAAGACTCAAATTCATGCATTTTGTTTCTCGAAGTGATCATTTTCTCTTGTTCATATCATTATTTGCTAATTTTGTAGAATTGATTCATGATTCAGGAAACGCCTCTTTACGATGATAAATGATCTGCCCACTATATTTGAGGTTGTGACGGGAAGTGTGAAGAAACAGGGAAAAGACAAGTCATTGGTTTCAAATAACAGCAGCAGCAAATCCAGGACTGGCCCAAAGGGGGTAAAAAGAATTTTCTGTATCTTATTTCATTTTCATTCGTGAACAATAAAATATGTCTCAATTGAGTTGATTGATGAAGAATTTTGGACCTTAGTGCTCGCAATCAGATAGTTTTGTACCCTATGCAATTGTTCTCACTTCAAGAACAGTAAACAGAATATAAGAGAAATTTACAAAGGAAAAAGAAAAGTTGAGAAAATATCTGGACTTGCTTCAATATTAGTTTCAGAAGCAAGGCATTGATGTGCACATTATTTATTTTGAAAACGAAGTCTTTGAATTTCAATGCATTACTCCTGATGGATTTGTCTACAGCTCTATATGTCCAGTCGGTTTTCGTTCTATATATGATCTTTTGACTGTATAGCATTTGTTTAACTAATTTTTTTAACAAAATTAACATTATTAACAGAGAGACTCTGAATCAAGCAAGTTGTCTAATGGGTTGGCAAAAGATGAAGATGAGGGACTGAATGAGGAAGCTGAGGAGGAGCACGGGGAGACCTTATGTGGGGCATGCGGGGAGAATTATGCATCGGACGAGTTTTGGATATGTTGTGACATATGTGAGAAGTGGTTCCATGGCAAGTGTGTGAAGATCACTCCTGCAAGGGCCGAACATATCAAGCAATACAAATGCCCCTCGTGCAGCAATAAGAGGGCACGGCCCTGATAATGATGGGTACCTCGTTAATTTTATTCATGTTGGATTAAGCTAACTTGTAGTCAGTCCAATATTAATCCATGTCCCCCCAGGGTATGTACTAATTGCGTTGGCTGGAATCTTGTTTATTCGGATAACTTACAGGCTATTAAATGTATTCTATGTAATTCCCAACTGAGATACACAGATTGTTCTATATGTGCGGACCTGTCGGCTATGGAATCTGAAACACTATAATTTATCTTATTTAATTGTTTCTGATCTGCTTCTTATCCTGGGATTCAGAACATAAAAGTCGTTCTCACTTCCGAGGTATGTTAACTCTACTCTGGTTTTCTGCTGGTCGCTGCCTGAAAGAAGGTAATTCATTTCCTTCTTCCACCCTTAAACTCTAATGTGCAAATTGTGAAGGTTTGAGTGTGTTTGGACGAGGATTTAAAGATGCTTTCTGGTGATCTGACTATCGTTCAAGGCAATAGCACAGGTGAAAAAGGCACTGTTGTATGCTGTGAATTTTATAACCTTGCCCTGCGCAAAGATGTTTGAGATTCTGGTTTGTTAGTCTTCGGTAATCATATCTGCAGTAGATGGAGCTGGCGTGCTATGCATTCATGGCGGAAGTATGAGAACTGAGAATGGCAAACGCTAATTCCTCGGTGGTTGATGCAACATCACGTGAAACCAGGTCCAGAACAATGCACAACCAAACCCTTGTTTTGGTTATGTAAGTTTACAACTCTCGGAAATGAAGTTTCCTCTAATGCTGAATTCTAGTTAAGGTTGTAAAACACAACAGTTTTTCATCTTTACCGATGATGGGAATGCAATTCAAATCTAAACAAGCCTTTTTATTTATTGTGGTATATACATTTACTTCCTAACCAATCACTCTTACAGAGTTTGCCCTGTTATAGTTTGCCCCGAAGGTAGTAATTCAAGCTACTTGGCATTTGATGGATGGGGGAACTGGTAGCTGAGAAGCACGTTAAATACACCATGTCTGTTGAAAAGGTGTGTTTTTCATTCATATATCACCCTCTCTTTAGCATCTATTGCTTTATTTACTTGGTTTTATCATTCATTTATACTTGATGGTAGTAGAACGCTATCCATTTATTCTATATTCCCATCTCTAAGCCGTTTTTTGTACAACGGAATGATTTCAATCGAGCATCTTAGAACGAATGATGCATACTGAGGTTATTTCCTGGGCCTTGAAATGTTAGCACGATTGAGGTTCTTATCCTTCTTTCGGACATGTTTGAAATGATTTTTTTGGTGATTAAAAAAGTGGGTCAAATTTCGAAAAAGAAATGTTTTTAAGTACTTAAAAAGTCTTCCAAACAAATTCTTATTATCTCAGCTTTCGTGTTTCTTTTGTTTAGGTTGATTCTAATAATCATATGGATAGATTTTAAGCTTTGAGATGGATGATTATTTACTTATTCTTTTGGAATAGATGTACATGCTCAATGTTATGCTATTAATGAACTTTCCAAATAGGCCCTCCTCGCCGTTTCAAGTTTCTGTTTATTTGAGGTAATTTAGAGTGAAGGGACATAAATTTCCTGATCAGCAAAGAACTTATGCCTAATTTTAAAAATGATATGTATGGTTGAAATATGGTTCACGCAATCATAATAAATTTTTTTATTAAAACAAAATTGAGAATTCAATTTCTTAAAACTTAAATATTTAATTAATGATATTTGAGAGACAGCTATAAAATATTTTTTTCATTTCATTTTGATGATGGGTAATACAGTTGTTTAACAATTGTAGGTGTCATTTGCTAACATAAGCATAAAGGTCTCATAAACATTTATTTTTCAAGGTGTAGATTAACAGTTGAACTTTTTTTTTTTTTTCAAAATTTCTTTAAAAAAGTTAAATTTAGATCTAATTCTTTGTCGCTTTATTCTAAAAAAGTGAATTTAAAGGATGATGAGGAATTAAGAATATTTAGAAAAGAAGGGATGTAGAAACATGATAAAAACATATGAATTTTTAAATTGGATGGAGTTGGTATGAGAATCAAGTGGAAAAAATATATACTTAGGTCAAAATAATTAAAAACAAAAAATATTTATTAGGTGGAAAAAAAAAAAAAAAAAAAAATCATCCGCCTTTGCTGCAATTGCATGTAATATGAAGGGTGAAAAGACATTACTTTTTCTATATGTAAATTGTAATGAATAGGGGGTTGATTTTGCATGTGCTTTTTTGGATTTCCTTTCTGAGTTCTCACACACGTGCCTTTTGTTTTTGTTTTTTCTTCTTTTCATTTCCAAGTTCGACTTAGGAATTTTTATTTTGCAGAATGTACTAAATGGATACCGAAAAATGATAGAACTTAGAAATATTTTTAAGTTTGAAAGCCGAATGAAATATTCTTTTTCTTATTGAAGCAATTGATATAGAACATTATGTATTAGGAATCGTTGTCGTCTACGATGGTATAATATTATTTCTGTGAGTATTAGTTTTTATGCTTTTAATTTTTTCAAAATGTTTCGTACTAATAGTTCTGTTCTTCAACTGTGATAGGGGCTGATTGAGATAGTTTGAGCAACTCACGTAATCGTTGATCTCTTACCAATTGATTATGTATAGCTATATTGAGATCAGAAGCGAATTGCGCAAAGGCTTCTAATTCGACAAATTGAGCCAATTCCAATTTTGATTTGTTGGCTATTAATTTGAGCTGCAGATCCTACTATGGAGACGGAAATACTCACATTAATAGCAAGTTTGATTCCAGGATTGAATAGATCTGCAGATAAGAATATTTGTCCATCGATAATGGAAATGCATTACTTATAAATCTATGATCATCTCCTTAATTAGCGAATGTGTGACTTCCTCCCAACAATTTTTAACACTAAGGATATGGAAAGAATGAAGAATGATGACATTGATGTTGATAGAAGAATTGATAAGCAATTGCAACTTTTTGGATCTAAAATTCAGGTACGCTTCTTTCTATATTCAATTGATAGGGTTTAGAGTTCTGTAAGGTCAGTCCATGCAATAGTTTTTCGAGTCCCAACTTTACGAGCCTTGAATCAACTAAGTTGCATAACCCACTAGATATGCACAATTGAAATTTGACGAATAACTGTTTAGAACCTTGGAATGGATACTATTTTTATTGATACAAGATTTTTTTTAGCGGGATTGGAAGAGGCATGGAAGGAAATCTTTCAAGGGCCCAAAGCTTATACCAGCTCTCCTTCTCATCTTCTATCTCCCACCTTGATTCCCTCATGCTTGACCTTCATCTTGTTCATCAGGTCATGGGTATGTAAGCTTTTAGGTAGAATTTGCCGTGCATTATCACTCTTTTGCTCCTTCAAACCTTTCTTCTTCTCGGAGACCATCCACAACATCATTAGAGATACTTGTAATATAAGAGATGTCTGTACGATAAAACAAAGAAATCTCTTCTTGTTCCTCTTAATTGAGCCAGATACCTAAATTTAGTAGAGATATATTTGAATGATATTTCGTGTATATATATAGTAGATATTTGGTAAAGATTTGATAGACATATATTTGTTAGATTATATCTTTGGAAGCAATACTTGTAAATTGAAACCATATATATATCAACCTCTCAAAATATAGTTTTCTTAGTTCTGTGTTCTATCTGGTTGAACAATATTCCTCTTTGAATTTTCTCTCTTCTGTTCTTTATGTTCATTTTGATCGTGAGCGATCCTAACAACTGGTATCAAAGCCAACAAATATATCAATTCTAACACCTTCTCGAAAAGAAAATGATGTTTTTGACCGATTTTGAAAAGAAAACCAGAAATAAGATAGAGATAGAGATTATTGATTATTATTATTATTTTTTTAATGTTTTTGTAGTAAAGGTAGAAAGACAATTTCACCCTTTAAAAGTTCAAATTTTATTTTTGTAACAAAATTTGAGCTATAACGGTAATTTAATTAGTAAGATTGCTTAAATTAAGTGGAATAATTGGTTGAATTAAATGCTCCAGCTACAAATTCCCAACTCCACTGTTGTGTTACAATTAGTATATTTATTTTAGGTTTTAGGTTAACGTTCCCCCAAAAAGGATAAATAATTATTTTAAAATTTGAATATATGCCACCTGTAAATCGTGACACAAATGAAGGTAAGGATGAGTTTGAGGCTTGAGGCGTATAATAAAATGCGCCCTTCCTCTCTTCTTTCGACACCACAATTTTGTATCTCTTCCGGCTGCCGCCGTCTCAACCTCCCCCCTCAAAATGGACTCCTCCCTCTTCTCTTTCAATACCTCTCTCTCTCCCAAACCCTCTTCTCTCTTCCGACGCCCCCTTCGCCGGAATTCTTCCCCCCCTTTCACCATCGCCTGCCCCTCCGCCACCTCCGACTCTACCGCCTCCCCTGTTCTCGACTCTTCCTTGCCGCTCGGAGTTCAGAATCCGCAGTTCGCTTGTGTCGATATCCAAGATGACTCTCATCGCAGTCGTTCCGTTGCTGGCGACGGCGGCCGTAATTTCTCTGCGAAGTATGTGCCGTTTGGTTCTGGCTTTGATTCATCCGAATGGTACTCGCTCGACGAAATCGTTTATCGGAGCCAATCCGGCGGGCTGCTCGACGTTCAGCACAACATGGAAGCGTTGAAGGAGTTCGATGGAGCGTATTGGCGGAATCTGTTCGATTCGCGTGTAGGGAAGACGACCTGGCCGTACGGTTCCGGCGTGTGGAGCAAGAAAGAGTGGGTGCTGCCGGAGATTGACTCCAGCGACATCGTTAGCGCCTTCGAAGGAAATTCGAATCTCTTCTGGGCGGAGCGTTTTGGGAAGGAGTTTCTAGGCATGAACGATCTGTGGGTCAAACATTGCGGGATTAGCCACACCGGCAGTTTTAAAGACCTTGGAATGACTGTTTTGGTCAGCCAAGTCAACCGCCTCCGGAAAATGAATCGCCCGGTCGTCGGTGTCGGCTGCGCCTCCACTGGAGACACCTCCGCCGCTCTCTCTGCTTATTGCGCCGCCGCAGGAATTCCGTCCATTGTCTTCCTCCCGGCCGATAAGATTTCCATGGCACAATTAGTTCAGCCGATTGCAAACGGCGCTTTCGTCTTAAGCATGGACACCGATTTCGACGGATGTATGAAATTAATCAGGGAAATCACGGCGGAGCTTCCGATTTATCTGGCGAATTCGCTCAATAGTTTGAGACTGGAAGGGCAAAAGACGGCGGCCATTGAAATCCTTCAACAGTTCGATTGGGAAGTGCCAGATTGGGTAATCATACCAGGGGGAAACCTAGGGAATATATATGCGTTTTACAAAGGCTTCCAAATGTGCAAAGAATTAGGTCTTGTGGACAAGATTCCACGGCTGGTTTGTGCTCAAGCGGCAAATGCAAATCCGCTTTACTTGTATTACAAATCTGGCTGGAAAGAGTTCTCGCCATTGAAGGCGAGCACCACTTTCGCTTCTGCAATACAGATTGGGGATCCGGTTTCCATTGACAGAGCCGTGTTTGCTTTGAAAAATTCCGGCGGAATCGTGGAAGAAGCGACGGAGGAGGAACTAATGGACGCAACAGCTCAGGCTGATTCGACGGGAATGTTCATTTGCCCTCACACGGGAGTGGCGTTAACGGCTCTGATTAAGCTGAGAAACAGGGGCGTGATCAAAGGCAGTGATCGGACGGTGGTAGTAAGCACTGCTCATGGTCTGAAATTCACTCAATCCAAGATCGATTACCATTCGAGAGCAATCCAGGGCATGGAGTGCCGATTTGCAAACCCGCCGGTGGAAGTGAAGGCGGATTTTGGGGCTGTAATGGATGTTCTTAAGGAGCATCTGTCGAGGAAGAATCCAAAAATGGAGCTATAGGTGAATGTTTCTGCCATTAAACTAATCTGCGGTGGAGCTTCGTGTTCAAGGTATCGAATACTCTGTTTTTTCAGCTTTATAGTTGTTGTTGGATGTTTTATGATGAACATACAGATTAGATTAGCGCTGAATTTGTGCTGTTTCTCCAAAGTTTTGTGAATACTATTTGTTTTGTTTTGTTTTGGTTGATTGTTCATCTCTTTGTTACGCTTTGATCGGAATTGGATTTGACATTTGGATGGCAGTGGCCGTTTCCGATCCAAAAGAATTAAATAGATTAGACTCAATATGCTTGTGCCATTCTTTGACTATGGATAAGTAGGAGCGATTAAAACTTCATAATTTTTAATTTATAATTTTTTATTATTATTTTCAAACGTTTTATTATACTGTATGTAATATATAAAGCAATTGAGTTGACTGGATAAATAAAAAATAAAAATAAAAAGAAAAATCTCTGTCTACTTGTTTCTTTGACCTCTGAGATGTATGTGAATAAACTTATGGTCCACATACATTAGGTGAAAAGTTATATATGGATTGTTACGCAAGTTATCACATAAAATAAAAATAAATTTAAAAGAAAACTTCAAACCCCACCCCAAATTAAAGAAATAGTATTAAATTTTGGTTGGTATGAACCCATTGAAAATTTCTTTCTACATGTTTCAGAGTGTAATAGTCGATATTGTCTTTTTTGGGCCTTGAGTAGGGGAGTAGGGTAGAGTTGTTTATTCCAAGTGCCATCATAGATTGTGAGATCTCATATCGGTTGAAGAGAGGAACGAAACATTCTTGATAAGGGTGTTGAAACCTTCTAGCAGACTCGTTTTAAAACCTTGAGCGAGAGACTGAAAGAGAAAGTCCAAAAAAGACGATATATATTAACAATGGGACTTAGGCTATTACATAGAGATTCTTCAAAAACTAATGTTTTAAATGATTTGATATGTTTTTCTTCATGATTTTAGTCTCATGTTTTGTAGTGAGAATGTTTGTGGGAGTAGATGATAGATTATTTAGTGATTTGTTGTAATAAAAATAAATAAATAAAAAAAAGGTTGATATCATAAGTTTCAAATAACTGCAGCAATTGGATTGGATGGTTCCTTGTAGTCAATAAACAGCCCATTGGATCATGGAAATATATGGAGTAGCGTTAGCTCATACACCCCAACATTATTGCAAAAACAAATTCAAATCTCCATGACTCTTGCAATCAATCAATCAATCAATGTTGTTCTTGTGGGCCTTCATGAATTATGGGTCCACTTTTGATTTGGGATTCCATTCATTTTAATCATATTTAAAACTAGGAACCTAAGAACTTAGAAGAGGAGGGGATAAGTATGGAGAAGCTGAGTGAGAAAAGCTTTGGGTCCCTATGTCATGTTGTTGGGTGTCACTGTTTTACTTGTTTGTCTCTATCTTTACACAAGTATATTTTGGTGTGTGTTGTGGGTGTTTTTTTAACCTATAATATATTTTTTCTAAAAAATGAGCTTATCATGAATTTAATAAATTATTCGATAAGATCATTATAATATAGATTATAAATATGAAAGAAAATCAAAAGTGAGATCCATATAATCTTGACTGAAATCTCAATAACACTTGTTTTGGATTTAAATTATTCCACGACTAAAATCAATGAAGTCCAATAACATTATTCTAAACTAAATAAAATTATAAAGAAACTTAGTTATTGACTAAAAAAAATACAAAGGCTCTTCTTGCTACCTTTCTCAAGTTTACTATACAAATACAAACATAGTATTATATAGAGAAGGTCAAATGTTACAATAATTAGGTGCGAGTAAATATAACTTTAAAAATAAATGAAATATCACACCTCTCGATTATCCACCCAAATTTTATCACCATCCAAAGATAAATTAAGCTTGATTCTCTTACTTAGTTCAGTAGGATTGAAATATCTTTTCCATTTTATGATTAAGATATATTGATTTATATGAATATGAATGTGAGTTAAATGAGGTAGGGTCAAAAAGATGATTATCCCTTATCTGAGATTCTGTTCTTGTGGTGGGTGTGTGGCTGTGAACCAAAAAGACCCTCCAAAGCTGCCATCATTCAACCCATGGCATCTTCACAAAGACCAAGATGAGAAATGTATGCAACTTTAAATTTTTTTTTTTTTTTTTTTTTTTTTTTTAAAAAGGGCTTAATTTAATTCTTCAAAAGAAAAATGAAATCACGGAACAGGTAAGTTCTGAGCAAAAAAGCAGCAACAAAAGGAGGTTTGTGCTGGTGGGAGAACCCCAATGGAGTACCTGCACACTACCTTACTACCTTACTACTTCACAATGTTTCCCCAACAGACAGAGAGAGACTCAAGAAAGGAAAAACCGAAGAGAAGACAAATATATGGTGAATTTTGGTTTAGAATTGGAAACACAGAATCTGGGAAATTATCGCTGTAAGCAAAGAATGAAGAAAAAGGGAGAGGGGAGGGTAGTAATATATAAATGGGCTACGGCGGAGGGCGGTTGCGCTTGTGGCCAGGCTTGGCGGCGGAGTTTCCTTCGGAGGAAGCCTCCATAGATTTGGTGAAGGAAGCGGAGAGATGGGCGTACAAATCAACAACCCTTCTGATGTTGTTGTTAAGCTCGCGAATCAAGCCCACGTTTCTGGCGAGGTTGTCGGGCATTTTGGACTCGTGATTTTGGTTAATTTCATTGATCAGCAATCTGTTTTGATCCAAAATGTTCTGAACTTGAACGAAATTCTTCTGAAATGTCTGAGCCATTTTCCCATCCATCTGCCTTCCATTCCCCATTCCTCCTGATGACAATGTCTCCCCCTCCATTAACCCAACACACCGTTCTTCTCAATATCACTTCCTATCCTGCTTCAGATATCAACTGCAAGCTTTTAGTTTCTTTACCATTTAATTTCATTTAACATATGTTTTTAAAGGACTGAAACATAATCATATCTTCTTATCGGTACACATACAAGCTTTCACTAACAGGCAAAATGAAGAAGAAAAAAAAAGATTTTTTTCATTTTAAAGACGAGGGCTTTTCTGCACATGAGACAAGAACTGTAGCAGAAATCATCACCTCCATCTCCATGGATGATGAGAGGAGAGGACAAACAACAGAAATTATTAATGTAAAAAACTGCTTTTATTATTGTTTGATAATGAGATGTAGATAGAAAAAGCAGATCCCATTCTTCCGATTTCCATATAAAGGAACTCTTTTAATATACTGAGAGCATACCCACGTACAGCTCAGAGCTCCAAGGAAGAATCTCTTCATACACTCAAAAACCAGTCCAATGAAGCACAGACACCATTATTGATCTAATCTAATATTCTATATTTCTAATAAAGATATCTGAAATTTGTGATACATAGACAAACTACTTAAAACAATAAAAGCAGGCAACCCTCCCATTTAAGCAAAATCTGTATAGGTTCAAATTTGGACAAACCAAAAGAAATCTAGGAACAATCTGAAATTCTTTTCAGAAAAGTAAAGGGAGTAAGAGGGGAACAAAATTTAATGACTGCAGCTACCTGGGGACAGCAAAATAAATAAATAAAGAAAATGAAAAACAAAAACACAGAAACTCACAACTTTTCTTTTCTTTTCTTTTCTTTTCTTTTCTTTTCTTTTTAGTTCTGCAAGAAAGAATAAGACCCCAGGAAGCCATCGGCAAAAAGAGAAGCTCCCAGTGGAATTGAAATGAAGGGAAGGCCGCCTGGGGGAAAAGTCGTCTTCTTTTCTCGGATTATTTATGCAATTATTATAAATTTGGAAGTAGGTCTCAAAATAAAATAAAACGAAGTGAAGAAGGAAGGAAGAAATAAAAGAGAGATTAGAAAAATGGGTAAAAATAAAGTTGGAAATACCTTCAAAATCTGAAACATTATATTTTGAGGAAGAGAAAGAGTGAATCTGAATCCCGAGGAGCAGTGGAAAAAGATGGCCGATTGAATCGAATCTCCGGAACAGACAGACACCTCTTCTGTAATTTCTGAGAAATCTAGAGAAAGAGAGAGATGGACAAATAAATAAAAATAAAAGACAGAGAATATATATAGATTTTATTGAAACTTTATAACCAAAAATCCCACCAGTTATTTCGCATTTATTATTTCCATGTCTGCTGCTGCTTCTTGTTCATCAAATTAGGAGGGGATTGCTTCTGTGTTTTTTGTTTTTCTTTTATTCAGATCCAAATCTTGACTTCCCCAAATTCCAACTTCCCACAAAATTTCCTCCAAGGACTTTCACGTCACTCCCCCCTCCCTGATTTAATGCATTTGTTTGTAATATCTTCTTTTGCAAAGGGAAATTTAAAAGTGGTTTGGCTTTCTTTAATTGTCGCATCCAGTGAACAAACGCAGATGGGATACATTTTACCTTTTTCCTACTGTCAAACATTTAATTATTTCTTTCTTTGTTTCATTATTATTAGAATATATTATGAAATGTGTCTCGAAACTCCAATTTTGAGGCCCTTTCTGGGTTCCCATTAGTAATTTCACGGTATTTATTTTGGGCTTTCAACTCGGGAGAGATTTGGCACTATTGGCAGGAGGTGTACACTAATAAAGATCCTCCAAAAGAGGAGTTGGCAAATGACAAGTAATTTTGGTGCTGACCAATTTGTGGAGCCAAGCAACCCAAAGGAATTTCACCATTGAAACGCAATTCAATTCATAAATAGTAAAAACACAATTCTAAGATTCTTAATCACTATGTTAAGATAACAATAAAGGCAAACTTTTTAGTTCAATTTCTAAACAGTTGATTCCTAGTTACGTTTCCCCGGTGTCCATTTAGAATCTAATTCCACAGCTGAAAGTTTAGGTATTCTCTTATTTGTTTCTAAGACTAAAGACAATACTCAACATACCACTCACTACATATCGCTTCCTAGGAAGATTCATACAAAACACCCAACGAAAATCTCTTCAACCCAAATATGTCAACGGTAAAATTTATCAGAAAAAAAATATATTTTTTTGTTAACATGGTTAGTAACTATCAATTCAAATAGTTGACGCCTATGGATAAAAAAAAGATGTTAAACCAGAATACATAAATAAATAAATATATATGGGAGGGACTTGTAATTTGATAATGAATTAGTTGGGACAAGCTAAAGAGAGAATTTTGAGGAAAATAATGACAATTATTCATTTATAAATTAAGCCTTTTTAAGGCTGAAAGTCGACTTCAGTCATATATATATATATATAAATGAAGCCCAACTTGTTAATTTGGGTTTAAGAAAGTTGGGAAGTGAAGGAATTGATAATTATTGGAGAAGAATGAGCAGATTTAGGAAAAAGGGGAAATGGGATTGGAGAGTGGGATTGGGTTGTTTTCAGTGACTTCGGGGATACGATATAAACAAACAGAGGGCTTTTGCTTTCTGTGGGTGTGTTCTTCATTTTTATTTTTGGGATTTTATCATTAGTATGGCCAGTCCTAGTTATTGAAATCTTGGCAATTTTGAATCAATAATGCCGTTTGAGAACCATGCCATTTTCTTTTCTGTTCTATAAAAAAAAAAATCATATAATTCTTAATAATTAGTTTTGGTTTTCAATTCTTTTTAAAAAAACCCCAAAATTTGAAACAATGGATGTATAACCTTTTGCTTGCTTCAACATCTGGTGTACTTACCCCAACACAAAAGGAGAAAGAATCACAAGAGACTAAAGAGGGAGATGTTGAGGATTGTTGGAAGAGGAGTCATGCATCCGCTAATTAAGGGTTAATTATATGTTTATAAGGAATATATCTCCACTGATATGAAACATTTTGAGGAAATCAAAAGCAAAACCATGAGAGCTTATGCTCAAAGTGGACAATATCATACTATTGTGGAGGGTTTGTGATTCCTAACATGGTATAAAGTTATGCCCTTAACTTAGTCATCCTAAAATGTCTAACAAAGAAGCTGTGAGCCTCAAAGGTGTAGTCAAAAGTAACTGAAGTGTGGAACAAAGGGCTCTAAAGGAGTAGAGTCTCGATTAAGGGGAGGCTGTTCGAACGATTCATAGGCCTCAGGGGAGGCTTTATGGTGTACTTTGTTCGAGGAGAGGAGGATTGTTGAGAATTTTTGGGAGAGGAGTCCTACATTGGTTAATTAAGGGGTTTAAATCCTTATTTTCAAAATTCAGGTCGTATTCCATTTGGTCCCAAATTTTGGTTCATTGATAAAAGAAAATTAGTTAAGTTACAGGGAAATAGATCAATTTTAGAGAGAAAATGGTTAAATAAAATATAAATCTAGAGAAAGACAAGTACAGTTGAGAATAGACAATACATTAAAGAAATAAAAATAAATGTGAAAAATAAAGAAAAGTTGTAGTGAAAGTAAATTTAGAGAGAGGAAATTTAAGAAAACTACTTCTCTTGAAACAAAAAAAACTCAAAAAATATTTTTTAAAAGCATAAAACAAAAAAACAGATCTATATACCAAAACACTCTGTTTTTTTTTTATGAACAACAAAAACAGTAAATGGACCTTTAAAATTAAGTCCACTATTTATTACTATTTTGTTTCTTATTTATTTAAACTTATAATAGCCACATCAAAATTAACTTTTAAAAACTAAATGGTAGTTCTCCTTCTTCTTATTTTTTTAATATACATTTTTAAAAATATATCTTCTCTCTCTTTCCGTTCTCTCTCCTCCTCCTCCCCTTCTCCCTCCATCTTTTTTTTTTTTTTTAATCCTCTTCCGATTAAAGAATAAAATCAGGGGTGGAAAATCACATGAAGATAGTATTGCAGGAGATAAAGAAAGAAAGAAAGAAAGAAAGAAAGATGATTCTCACCTTAGGGTATAATGCAGGGGAGAAACTTGAAGTGGCCATCCATCGTCAGAAAGAGCCTGCTTCCACCCAGAATCATAATCAATTAATGAAACCACTCATACTACATTATGCATCAGTTAACCTTGTCATCCGTCACTTGCATCAAAAAACATCACCTTCATGTACAAACAAAGTATTGTCAATATTCAGAATAAATAGAAGTTTTCACACGACTAAACCTAAGAAGTGAAATGGTAACCATTTTCACCGTTAAATATCTTTTAATAGGAGGACTACGTCGTGATTCAAGAAGATTTGAGAGCTAACCATGTCACAAATTTAGTTCATATCAACATAAACAAATAAAACTTGTCGGACCAAGGCCATAAGGAATATGTGGTTCTAATGGATTTTTTTCTTTAAGAAAATTCAGGGTACCAAGATGTACCATGATTCCCTCGTATTAAAAAAAAAAAAAAAAAAAAAAAATGTTTCCTGTCGGAAGCTATCAGAGATAAGCTTGGAGAAAAAGCTCCCTGAATAGAAGCATTTCATATTATAAATTATTTGGAATGATGAACTTTCACAATAGTATATATTGATAAGCTCTCGTGACATTATTTTTTGTTTTCTCAAAAGGTCTCGTACCAATAAAGATGTATTTTTTACTCCTTAATTAGCCGATGTGGTACTCCTCTTCCAACAATCCTCCCCTCGAACAAAGTACACCATAGAGCCTCCCATGAGGCCTATGGAACCCTCGAATAGCCTCCCCTTAATTGAGGTTCGACCCCTTCTCTGGAGCCCTTGAACAAAGTACACCATTTTTTCAACACTTAGAGTCACTTTTGACTACAACTTCTCACAATTTCTTTGTTCGACATTTCAGGATTTTATTGACATGACTAGGTTAAGGGCATGATTATGATTCTGATACCATGTTAGAAATCACGAACCTCCACTATTGTATGATATTGTCCACTTTGAGCATAAGCTCTCGTGGCTTTACCTTTGATTTTTCCAAAAGGTCTCGTACCAATCGAGATATATTCATTACTTATAAACCCATGATTAACTCCTCTTCCAACCATCCTCGACATAAATCCCAAATAAGACCCTTCATCCGTGATTAGTCACTAACAACATTCTACCATTAAACAAGGCCTTTGCCTTTTAACGGTTTACCACAAAGGAGAAAATAGATAGTGTTCTTCAATGAGCAGAGCAGTCATCATGATATCAACATGTCAGAGAGAATTAAGGTCGAATCGCATTAATAGTAACTGAAATATTCCAATTTTGGTAACTGCATTCCATAAGAAAATTATTATTGTTCTAATACGATTGGCCCCAAACAGTTAATGCGTTGGTTAGCTTTCAAAATAATGGGGGATACTTGTAGAAATATCACTTGAATGTACTCATACGACTAAAACTAAAAGTTAAAAACAGTACATCATTCTCAATGTTGAACTATTAAACGAGGAGTTTAATACGATCTAAAATGATTAGAGAGCTAAATGTAAGGAAAATTTGTATTAATTCACTGACATCTTCAATAAACAGGTCAAGCACAAAACAGACTACAGACATAACAAGCAATAAACATCGAGAGATGACGGACCAGTGAGAACAGCAATACAAGAAAAATAAGATCGGCAAGGTAAACCAGTTATAATAATTGGTGGCTGCATCAGGCTATCCTTTTCGTTAATCCAAAGTCGACTATGTAGACTATGTAACAGAGTTGAGAATGCTAAGCTAAACACAACCAAGAAAGAAAAATGCTGGCAAGAAAATCTTGAAGTAATTGATTAACACTGAAAACAAATATTTTATTATATATTTTCTAAGGGAAAAAAAGCTCATCACCGGATTTTCTTTATGGCCAAGATGCGAAGAAAGGAAGGTTTTATGCCTCTATGCAGAAATCCTGTTGAATGCACTTACTCAAGTCTTCTGATCTTCAAGAGAAAAAGGGAAACAATTGAGACAAGAAACAACAAGTCAGCCATGGAAGAGGTCTAAAAACATTTAATATGATATACCACCGTAATTAATGCTTAGACATTGGAACATGATCTGTCCAAATCCTTCAGCCCCCGTCTATGTTAACACCTTGAGAAGAAACAAAGTACAAAAGTTACAAACAAAGTGCGTAACTGGACCAGAAACTTGCCATAGAAGTTTTGGGTTTCCACCACCAGAATGCAGTGCACTGCATCCTAGAGAGACGTATTCAAGATTAGCACGCCAACAAAAATATGGCCAAGCTAAAACTATCTCTACAAGCATCCCACCAATTGAGTTGAAAGACACTAATGAAACTAAATAAAATCATTTTAATCACAGAAATTTTCTCAAATATTTTGATTTGTGTGCAACGATAAATATGGTATATATCTAAATGAAGGGAGCCATTAACGTTATACAACAAACCACTAAGAAGAAGTTCTCAACACCAAGAAAAAACTTTATACTGATACATTTGTTTATCTTTTCGAGAAAAAAGAAAAATCATCCCCTAATTTTGCTTTATGTCCATGATGCATGAGGGAAGTATCAGGTTATCAGTTCTTGCGGCCTTCAAGATAACAGTGAAACTGAATGAGAAGAAACTACTAATCACGAAATGTCTATCTTGCTCACTCTGTTAGAAGATATATTCAGCAGAGTTATCGACTATGTCTACAAGATATCTTTTACCCATGTCCAGGCATTGGATGTAATTGCGAACAAAATTTGGTCCATGAGCAAGGATGAAATAACATTCGCATGAATACAACAGCCAGAAATTAAGTCCACTATTTGCATGAGGCCTAAAGGATGAGTAAGTTCATTTATCATGCCAAATACTACATATAGTCAAATATCTAGATTGTAAGAAAATATCTTGGTGCTGATCAAACCCAAGAATTATACGGAGATTTTATCACTCGGGGGAAACGCAAGTTTATTACAGAACGTAAAAGCAGTAGTCTAAGATCAAAAAGATGGATTCAGGCGAATCTTCAACCACAGAACGATCGTCGATAGCGGTCATCATCATTTGGGGCCTCAATTGGGCTTACTGTTAACTATAATACATCGGCCATCAAGTATAGTTCATACTCTAGTGATCTTCAACAGAAAATAGAAATGAACAGTGAGAATATATATTATACACAAACATGACAGCAATAGACCAGGAAGACCATTAGAGAATGGACGTCGGAAACTCACTCGAGCATTCTGAAGACGGCTTGAGGAAGCGACTCTGGATGGGAGAAGATGCGGGAGACTCAACCGAGAGCACAGATCTTCGCTTCTCTGCTTAGAACTTCGAAGAAGACGCCGGAAGGAAATTTGCGACCTCCTTGTCGAAGATTGTAGCACAACTAAACTGTAGATCCAAATGTAACAAGAACTTCATAAAACATCAAAAACCAGCTAAAATCGCATTGTTTATCAGACATAGTGGTAGGTTTCATGGCTTCAGTTCGCCAAAATAAGAGCATTTCGTGGTTTGTCCTAGCACTATTTGTGAATTGAAGAGTCTGTAAATTGAACTCGCACGAACAAAAGCAAACTTAACTATAACAAATCCATTTTATTTCAGTTTCTAAAATTTATCGTAGTAAGCATAAATTTATTCGTATTAGGGTGTAAACAGTTCAATTTTTTTTGGCGTAGAAGTAATATTTGGAATATTGTATTGACATTTTAGGGGCCTTGGAAGAGTGTCCATGCGTTACTTTAAAAGTAACGGACAGGATTAGCGGGTGATTGATTTTAGAAGCAGAGAATCGGAAACCCTAGCACGTCCCCGTCGCCCAAATTCTCTGATACTCATTTCACTTTTGGGGATAAAATGCTATCACTTGCACTCCGTACGATCTCCACGCTTCCTTCCAGTTCTAGGCATCTCCGCCCCCGCCCACACCATCGCCCCTCCTTCAGGCCCTTCTCCGTCAACATGTCTACACACACTCCGCCAATCGAACACGTCGTCCTCTTCAAGGTTAAAGATGGCGTCGATTCCTCCAAGGTAAACGACATGCTCACTGGCCTCAATTCCTTAACCTCCCTCGAACAAGTTCTCCATCTCACCGCCGCTCCCGTCCTCCGCAACTGCTCCTCCGCCTCCAACTTCACTCACCTCCTTCATAGCCGCTACCCTTCCAAGGAGGATCTCTCCAGCTACTCCGCCCACTCCGCCCACGTGGACGTTGTCAAGCAATTTGTTCTTCCTATCTGCGATGACATCATGGCCGTCGATTGGGTCGCCGATGCTTTGCAAGGCCCCGTCGCCGCACCTCCTGGCTCTGCCCTTAGAATCACTTTCCTCAAGCTCAAGGAGAATCTGGCGCAGGAAGTTAAGAACGAGATCTTGGAGGTCATCGCAGGTCTGAGGGAGAAATTGGGGCCCAATGTCCAGCTGACGGTGGGCGAGAACTTTTCCCCGGGCAGAGCCAAGGGGTATTCGATCGCTTCGATTGCCATTTTCCCGGGGCCGAAGGAGTTGGAAGCGGCGTCTTCAGACCCAGAAATGGTTGAATTGCATAAAGAGAAGGTCAGGGAGCATTTGGAGAGTGTGATTGTGGTGGATTACGTGGTTCCGCCGGCGCAAACCGCGAGTCTCTAATCCCATCTATGATTGTCGCTACAAATTTCTGATGAACGATGTTATGTGTTGAAATTGAATAAAAGCGTCCACCGTGATGAATGAAATTGTAGCATTCCGATGTTTTTGAGTTTCTGCTCTGTTTGTTACTTGCCGCCTCGGCGTCCATTTTAACATTTTCAAGCGCATACAATTTCAGTCAAATTTATCCTCCATTATTCGAATAAGAGAAACAAGTTGTGAACATCATAAGAGTTCTGATCTCAAGCTGAAAAAAAAGAGAAAAGAAAGAAGCGATTTTTATACTAGTTTCTGGCTGATTGAACTGCTTGCACAGTAGCGATTAGCTGGGCCATCACATTGGCATACTGAACCGCTGTGTGTTGAGAAGTATAGTAATCCGACAGTCCATATTCTGCAAAGTTGGGTTCTATGTGCATGAAACGACCAGGTAGGGAGCTTTTTGACATGGCTTCTTGCCATACCTCGAAAAACTCCTCCATCACCTGTTTTGATTTCTCCATTGAAGAAATCGGCAGATACTCAATCTGCAATATACAGGTTTAAACATAGTGAACGGTCTCAAGTGTTCAAAATGTTTCATTGGAAGAGCAACAAACAGCAGCCAAAAAGTATAACATGTGCACATTTGACATACAGATTCTACTTGAAAATGAGTCCTGCTTTCCAAATTCACAGTACTTCCAAGATGATGTTCATCATAATAGATTCGAAACAAATTACAGGATTGAATCGAGATTTGCTAGAGAAGTGTCAAGGTTCCAACTTCAGCATGAAAGCAAGCCATCTTAGAGATGTTTCAAGTTTCCAACCACTTGGGACTTGGATAATACAATAAAGAACATAGCAAAATGTTTTCGAGACAAGAAAGCCATACGTTTGAAATCGGCATCTTTCTTTGCTTTATTTGTTTCAGGATGAGCACCACACTAGGGAATTGACCCAAGCAAAGGCTACATATTATAATCAAGCAACCAGGTGAACTGGAAGACACTTTCTAAACTTAATAAACTCTTTGGGAGGAATTTACTCAGAAAGCGTGAAGATCACAATAAAGAACTTCCATAACTATGCCTACGTAGGCTTTTGCAAAGATATCCTAATCAGATCTCACTACTTCTCAACATAACATCCTTCACTACAGAGCCTACTGATTAGTTATTTGATGCCTTTTCATTCTACTTCATTGTTCTTGACCAGGTTGAGGATTGTTGGGGGAGGAGTCCACATTGACTAATTAAGGAATTGATCATAGGTTTATAAGGAACTATATTTCCATTGGGACGAGACATTTGGGAGAAACCAAAAGCAAAACCATGAGAGCTTATGCTCAAAGTGGACAATATTATATCATTGTGAAGAGTTGTGGTTCGAACAAAGAAACTGTGAGCTTCGAAGATGTAGTCAAAAGTGACTCAAGTGTCGAACAAAGGGTGAAATTTATTCGAGGGCTCTAAAGAAGGAGTCGAGCCTCAATTAAGGGGAGGTTGTTCGAGGGCTCTATGCACCTTAGAGGAGGCTCTATGGTGTACTTTGTTCGAGGGAAGGATTGTTGGGAGAGAAATCTCATGTCAGCTAATTAAGGAGTGGTTGGTTTATAAGGAAATACATCTCCATTGGTATGAGGCCTTTTGGAGAAACTAAAAGCAAAGCCATGAGAGCTTACGCTCAAAGTAGACAATATCATACCATTATGAAAAGTCGTTCAAAGTGGACAATATCATACCATTCTGGAAAGTCGTGGTTCCTAACATACTAGGAGGCGAACAACTCATAGGAAAAGAAACTGCTCGCTCAGATACAAAAAAAAGACAAAAAAAAAAAAAAAATGAAAAACCCAACAAGAAGAACGTGCAATAATATATGAGCAGAGTTGACATGAAAAGATGAAATGAGCCTTACCTCCATGACAATTCCTCTCAAATTCTCGGAATTGTTGGGAACAACTTTTCCCACTCTTAGCTGGAAATCCCCTAATTGGTACTGAAACCCCTACAAAACCAACAAGGCGAACTGTATGTAACCAAAGATTTATCATCTCACACGACTATAAACAAAACGGCAGAAGAACAGAGACGAGAGAGCTACAAAAATCAACTTCAAATTTGAATTCCTGGACATGGGGAAATGAAGAATGCATCAGAACTAGAAAAGCCTGGGTGGGTCAACCTCGAAATTGAGAGCAACGCGCAATTTGTAAGACTGCAGCTTCTCCATTATAGCCTGAATCGTAAAATCAGCTTCTAACACGATCCGTTGGCCACGGATTATGAGATAGTACTTGTTTGGTTGCTCCGGCACAGAAATTCCAAGAAAGTCGCGCGGGAACTCGCCCGCTGCTATGTTCGTATCTGTTGTTGACAGATTTAAGATTCATTTAGGTAATCAAATCTCGAAAAACGTCTCTACAAAAAGAATGCGATCACCTCTTAAGATGGGTTTGTAGAATGTAAGAGTAGCTTTCCACTTGCCCCCTTTAACGCCATGGATACTCTCAACACACTGCGAAACCTCGTTGAGTATCTGACTGTTAACAGTGCTGCCGGCATTCGGTTGCCAATGCAAAACCCTAATCAAAGGACAACGAAGAAAGTAGATCAAGAAACGAATCCACAAGAAATAACGAGCACTTTTTTGATGGGGGTTTCCGGGGTTTTACCATTTTAGCGGCATACTTCCAGTCGTACAAAGCCGCAGCAAAACAACGGAGATAAGGCGGTTCGGAGCAGATTAGGCACAATTTGCAACTTTCACGGAAAGCCCAATTGAAAGAATAAATACCCCTGCCAGCCCAAACTTGAGTCCTTGCGCGTTGCCATGCCCTTCGGGGATCCATACAATTCTACTGGATCTCAAAAAGAACAATAAACAAATAAATAAAAACATTGGTTCCCTGTTTAATGGACAGTGGAGGTGACAACGGTGGAACCTCTCTACCAATATCTGAAGGGCCACCACTTTGACCATATGCTTTTACACTATTGCTTAGTCAAGTCTTTTCTTGTTAAATACCTTCAGAATTTAGGTCTTTAAACCATGTAGAGCTTCAAATAGTGGTTCTAAAAAATGGCAATCAAATCAATGTGGTTAAAGGTAGCTTTTTTTCTTCTTAAGTTTTCACAAATAAGAGAAATAGAGACAATCTTCTATTTCCCTTCTTGTTCTACTCCCACGACAAGCTACCAATTTGGCTCCATTTTAGCATGAAACTACAAGTAAACTGAAAAGGGTCACAAGCAAAATGAATCAAAACAGTTGCCTTGAGAGAAAGGAAGAGAAGAAAAGGTACATATTTATCTAAGAGGAGTTGTTTGTGTGGGGCTGCATAGAGAGTGAGACAGGCGTAGGGTGCCCAGTTTCCATATCCTGCAGCTACATACTAATTGATTTGGAAGCTTTCCAACACTCTCAAAAAGGACCTTTGTCCGGTTTCTTTTTATAACGATCCAAATCTCTTAGATATTGTTCTATTTGAGTTTTATTCCCCAAAGTTTAATCTAGAATTAAGCAGTGAAACTTGGACTCTGCTGTTTAAACTTTCCCTAAATTTAAATCAAATTAAGATTAAAAGCCTATTTGGTACGCCTTTCTAAATGCTGAAAAAGTAAGAGGGGGGGAGAGAGAGAGAAAGCAGGAATCAAGGTGGTCCGTTGGGGGCCCTCTCCCATTATTATTATTACAAGACAACAGACATAGAAGGTTGAGCCAAGCCCAGAAGACAGATGGCCAGGACGCTTACCTTAGCATTCTATCAGACCTCTCTGACACATCATTCATCATCTAACTATTTATGCATTGAAGTAGATGGGGCACACCGCATTCAAACACACTCTTTGGATCCTTTTTATGGAACTAACCACTGTTCTCTTCAACTTCAACTTCAGCAAACATACAAACAAATCCACTTACCCTTCAACCCCATGCATACACTACCCTTTCATTTCTTTCGCTTTACATTTTTGGACATTAGTCGTCAAAGAAAATCAAACAAACAAAACTTATTTGTAATGCATTGTGGTAACAGTGGGTCATGGATCCCAAATACAAACCAAAAGTCTTTCCTTGTTTCTCACTAAATGCACAATGGAATCAGATAAAAAAGGTCATCAGTTTTCATTATGCTTATTGGAACTGAAAATGGAGGAGAAGTCATGCTGCGACGAGTTAAGAATAGACATTGAAAGCCGAGTTTCAGAAACTGAGCCAGTATTGGATGACTTATCATCCAAATCAACCCACGACTCCCTGTCTTTAGGAGACCATTCACCAAAGAAGTGATGCATAGTCTTCTCCGGTTTCTCTCGTTCCATCTTACTCTGCATCTCATTATATTTTCCCACCGCGTAGTAATGCTCGTCTTGCTTCACTTGCTTAGGGGAACCGCCAAAGCTCTGCAGCTGCAAGTAAGAAGAGTAGTCACCTTGTAAAGCTGAGCAGTTCTTGTGTCTGGGGGATGAGGAAGAACAACTCATTGTCAGAGGAGTTAGCTGCCAGGGATCTTCCATAGACGAAGCGGAGAAGCCTCTCATGTTCCCAGAATGTTCTTCCGATAGAAATGGATGCTTATCAACATCTTCCTTCCCCCCATAAACATACCTATTTCTTCTTCTCGGTTACAAGAGGGTAAAATCTTCAGTTAAGTCTCAAAACAAACAATCCCGGAAACAGAAAGAAGTGTTTTTGTGCAAACCTGTAATCTGCAGGAGGGTCCAGAAGTAAGGATGGGTTGGAGCTGTGCTGCAAATGGGCAGAACCAGGGGGCCTAGAAAAGGAGCCATGTTGATAGAGAAAAGGGTGAGGAGAAGGAGTATTGAAACAAGAATGGGTATGGATTTCAGAGGGAAATGAGTTGGTGCTGAGTGAAGCGGTGGAGTTGTGGGTGATGGAGGAGATGGGTGGGGTAGATGGATTAGAGGTTAGAGCAGTTATTGTTGTTGTTGGTTTCAAAACTTCCACAGGCTTTCTTGAACGGTTTTTGCCTCTGTGCATATGTCTCTCACAGTATTTAGAATCTGGATATGCCTCTTTGGAGCATCTCCATTTTTTGCCGTCTGTTCTTCTGCACCTTCCAGGCTCTGGGTCGATTTTCCTCCCCGAACCCATCTGCACGAAGTTCCATCCAACTGCACACACAATAGAAACCCAAAACTTGGGCATCATAATGAATGATACGGTTCAAAACAGAAAAATAGGAAGTGTTACCGTCTGGATATTGGTGGGGAAAGAGCCTGGAAATGAAAGGAGTGTCCAAAGAGGATCTCTTCATGGTGTAGAGCAGATCAGGAGGGACAGGGATGCCGGAGACCATGTACTTGAAGATGAGGGCTTGGTGTTCTAGCTCTTGCCATTGAGCTGCAGTGAATGGGAGCCTGTTTCGTGCGCTCATTTCTTGAGTTTTTCTTCAGTGAAGAAGAAGGAGAAATGTTGAAGGGCCAGGGAGGAGTGGAATAGGTATATTTATTTGAGGGACCATTGGGGGGTGCAGAATCTTGTGTGAATGTTTAAAACTAATGGTTCTGATTATAATGCCGGATGCTCACTCCTCAGTCCTCTGTTTCTCTCTCTGCTCATAATATTATGACTGCAACGCTCTGCAGCTTCTGGTTCTGCCTGCCAACCCTTGTCTCTGACATCTCTACGGAAATCCACAAGATAAAGGCAACTAAAATAATAAACAAAACAAAAGGAAAAGGAAATTTATATACAAGCATGTATGAGACAGACTAAAAGAGTTGGAGTCTGAAGCTAAATGCCTGCCTGCACCTGAAAAACTTTGTACGCTTTAAGCTTTTACTGCAACTACCAACTCTGTTTACTTTTTCTGTTCATTTACCCCGGAGCTTCAGACTATATCCCACTGCCCCCCACTTACCGTTTTCCTTTTTCCTTTTTTCCATTACAACTGTCCCTTTCTTTTCCTTTGCGTTTTCCTTGGTTGCTTCATTTTAGCCTCTTGTTTTAGGATTAAACAGCGATCGAGTTGACTGACAAACATTGGAAAAGCAACCGCATTTTGCCATTAGTTGATGGGGGTGTTGTTCAAATCCAACCTTTGTTTAATGCATTAAAAGTTGGATGTTTTCTATAAAACCAACCCAAACGCAGTCTCTGTCTCTGTCTCTCTTTGGGACATGTACGAAACGGGAGCAGAGCTCGAGGCATTCAGTCAAGCCAACCAGGTCTTTACTGTACCTTGCAATCCTCGAAACAAAAAAACGAAGCAAAGCAGTGGCTGTAATCTGTAATAAATATCATGCTTTGCTCTTTCCCTATCATTTTATTGTCTAAGAAATACAGTCCACTTTCATCTACGTTTCTTAAAATGCTAAAACTACTACAAACATCCAATGTCGTCGTAGAAATGTCATAGAGACAAAGAAACCGGAGAGTATGTGTCATAGAGACAAAGAAACCGGAGAGTATGAGTTGGAGACATTTCCTGCCTAGAAAATTGGAACTTATGGATTAAAAAGGAGAAGAAAATGAATTATTTGTAGTATATAAATTATACATCATTGAACTTGCGTTCATCAGTTTATGTGGTAGCGGGGATCATTCCTTCTGGAAGAAGGAGAGAACGAGATCGGTATGCACAGAGAACAACTGTGTGTCCACAAAAAGCTGCTCACACAATAGAGACAACAAATCACTTGTTAGCCAGTTTTCAAAAATATAAGATCAATACTCTAGAAAACCTAAGCAGGTGATTGACTACCTTCAAAAATGGCCGATCACGACTTGGGAACGACTCAATGAAGCTCTCCTTCAACAGTAATGAAACCTAACAGAACAAAACGATTAGCTATTAGTAGCCTATCACATGTTCATACAACAAATCAAGTATATCCCCTACATGCTCATGAACCCAGTTTTGAACGCTCACTTTTCCTCGTTTAAATTGAGTCGTGCAACAATACAGTTTCTAATCGATGGATATCTATACAACCCAAGAAGGCAGCAGATGATTACAAATTGGCTAACAACTTCAAAAGAGATTGCAAACCCACCTTATCGTCATTCGATTGTACATTAGTAATTGTATGTGAACGGAGGTTAGCACAGAGAGAGTCCAAGTATAGTCTTAGCACTTTTAGGAAACCCCTGGCGGCTTCAACCTATAAGCAATAAACAAATTAAAGAAATTTACGACGACGCATATACTGGGAAAAAACTTACTTACCTGCACATCAGTGCATTCAAGCACTGGCCTCTTTCTCCCTAAATAACTTTCTCCAACTAGATCCACGTGATACGGTCTTAATGATGAGAATAACTCCTTTTGTTTTGGCAGCTGAGGTATTGTTGGGGCCTTGACCTGTCATGTTCAATAGTAGTGCAAATCAAATGCCTATTCACAGCAAGCTAATAACTCATAAAAATTTGTATGAAGATCAAAATTCTGGAAAAATGAAGAGACCTGGTTCTTGTTCACATCAACCAAAATGGCATTGGTCAGCTTCGACTGTACTTCACTGGTTTTATTTCTCACACCGACCTACTTAAAAGTTCCCATATAAGTAATCAATCAGAAAAATACCAGAAATAGCTGCAAGAAACAACCAGAAACAAAATGCTTACTATGTAAGGAACAGGGGCATCCAAAAAGTCCAGCATGTCATTTGGTAACACCTGAGTGATTATGTTCATGAATCATGACAGTTGAGACGTTCAGAAGCCAATAAACACAAATATCTTCCAAAACAAGAGATAAATCACAGGACGATAATTATCAGAGAACAGAAATCATACTGGCATCAGCAAGCTTTGCCACTGGTAGGGACGAATCATAGGGATAATCGATAAAACTGAAGCAGATAGGATACCCTGCATGTTGTATGAGTTACTCTCACATGCATATAAAATAACTTCACTAACGAGACCTCCAATCAACAGCCAAATTGAACACCATAATCAGACCAGAACAAACACGATGCAAGAAAAATCATGTACCAGATTGGAACAAACGATCACGATCTGCTTCTCCAGCAGCACTCCAGCTAAAATTGATAAAATCTGTGGACAGATGAATTTATATGGCTCAAGTTGTCAGCAATATTAGTAACAATCAGTATTCCATCCCCCAGCCCCAGAAACTATGAGAAATGGGGGTCAGGGGTGACAATTCAAGGCTGCCCATATACTTACATGCTCGAGGCGTAAAGAACCACACATGCTTGCAACAGTCCATACTGATAAGGCATTTGCTTCTTCCTCCACCATGAGAGCGCCGTGTGCCTGAGAAATCAACAGGAGATAAAGCTAATCATGCCACAGAAGAGGGCATCGCTTTAACTTAAAAAGTGATTACCTCTGCTAATTCAAGACTTGTACTGCATGACCTTGGATCAATGGTCGAGCCAGCAACATGTAGAACTGTTTCACCTGATCTATAATACTCCAAGGGATGCAGGTGCTCCAAAGGATGAAACTTAACAGAACAGCCCCTAGCAGGGTAAGGCAACTGGTAATACTCGCATATGATTTGTAACGATCCATTCTTATTTTCCTGCAAATTCAAAAAAATTGAATTCTTAAAGAAAATGGCAAGAGAGGTACCTACAAAACCACAATTGTTAAATTTCTAGAACCTTGGCCCACTCAAGAATTTCAAGTAGGTCTGAGGAATCATCCTGGCCAGAAAACGATGCCTCCTCTGTTTCCGTGTCATCAGCATCACTCCTGAAATTTCTGTCTTCACTCGGAGACCCCTGAAAACTACATCATAGAAATTGAATGTTAAAAAAACCAGCTTAAAAATGAGTCAAAGTCATTGCTGCAGTGTCACTCTGATTACGCTTAATGTAGAACATTTAACAAGTTGTTAATATTAGACAGAACGTTTTGAAACATTAATGTAAGTACAATAGTCAGTTGTTAATCATATACCTTGAGGACGAATCAGAGCTTTCATATTGATAATAACGGAGGAGAGGAAGAACCGCATTTGGTAAACGCCTATCAATCGCCTGATTGTTTCTTGTAAAATCATCAACATCGATATCATGATTTTCCTTATGTACGGTAGCAGATTCTGTTTTGGCAGTAACTACCTCTGGTTCTCGATCAAGTGTGACAACTATATCATCACTAATGCCCTTTTTTAGACATTGAAAATTTCCATTGTGCATTTGATGCTCAAGATGAGTTTCATCACTCATCATTCTTTGAGAATATTCCTCTTTTCCCTCGTGTCTGTCTTCAGCTGCACTCTGATCTAAAGTCATGCAACCGATGTCTTCCGCCAAATCTTCTTCATTGCTCAAATTCTCTGTGGATTCCAAATCCAAAACACCAATACCTTTTGTTAATCTTTGCAGCCTTTCTTCCGTGAAGATGCTACAGGAAAATTAATAAAAAATAAACAAAAAAATAAAATATTAGAAAATTGACATAATAAAACAATGACAATCGAACGCAAGAAATAAAATTTAGTTCACAATGAAAAGAAAAGGGGAAAGCCATACATTCTCTTAAACTTCTTGAGAATGTATGTACTAAGTTTCGATATCATTAATCCAGTTACCATCTTAAGCTATAACCATCAACACAAGATTATATAATTTGCATCCAAATTTCAATCTAAATGTTTCTTTTATTAACATCAAACCATTTCACATTGGAAGTTAAAGAGTAGAAATTTTAATATCCAGTATCCACACACAAACAAAAGGTGGCACGAATTCCTAGCATATGAAAATGCCAACTCTCATATCAGTTCTCCCTGTGAAGCATTACAAAGGGAAATATAGATTTCAATCTGTAACCAAAACAACCAGAATTTTCGAGTATCCAAAAGCTCAAAGAAACCATTGTAGGTCTTTTTTCAGGGGGAGAAGAGAATCATCCTACATCTTAATATGGGAGAATATGGTATAAAAACATCAGAATGTTTGAAGTTCATACATATACCTATTCAACACACCAAAATGTAATTCGAAGAATGGCAAGCGAGATAGAATGCAATAGCATCTGCGTGTGGTTAGTATGTAACGGCTCAAGGATGAGTAGGAAGGTGCTTTCTCAGAAGCAGAAAGCAACCCAGATGGTTTCTGCACTAATTCTTCAACTAAAACACAGCATCCGTACAATGTTGAATCATCAGCAACCTGCAAGCATAGTTTGCAAATGAGTGTTGTAGTTCCCTTACAGCTTTAGTTTTGCATTATTGCTTTGTGGCCTGTACTTTAGGGGTCCTATTTCAAAATCACTCTATGAATGTAAGGTGAACTTTTCCAATCCAATGGGGGAACAATTATGATGAAAATATGTAAGGTAGGAAATACACAATTGTAACCCCCACTCGCATAGGAGAATTAACAATTGAAATTTAATAGTACCTGTAAGCGGAATACAAATGAGAGGTCACTTTGCTTGAAGTGTTCCTGCAAGTGCAACATAACGATTGGGACAAGTTACTAATACATGCTACAGCATGGTGACTCAAGTTATAACAGAGATCTTTATTCAAGCGCTAGTGTGCTAATTATATTACCAATGACAGAAACATGGTTGTGTTTTTAAATTATCCTTGAAATTTACACAGCTAATTGCCAAAATAATTAAAGACAGTTACGTGCAGGTTATAACTGATCTAAACTCCAATAAATATACTCTGTTTCTTTATGTATTAAGCAACACTACCATGGATGCTCCTGCCAATTCATTTAATTTTGTGTTTAAAGTTCCAACCCATTTTCCAAAAAGAAAGTACCTGTCCAAGAAGAATCTCGTTCCACTCACTCATGGAAGGAGTTCTTTCGACAGCGTGAACCTGTAGTCACAAGATGAAAACTTAGAGAAGAAAGAAAGTGATCTGAGACTCTAAAGAACAATTTAGGAAGCAAGCAGACAATAGTGCTGCCAAAAAAACACTTTTGTAGGAGTTCCATTGATATGGTGAAATGTAAACAAGAAATCCTATCATGTTGTTGTAACGGCCCAAGCTCACCGCTAGCAGATATTGTCCTCTTTAGGCTTTCCCTTTTGGGCTTCTCCTCAAGGCTTTAAAACGCGTCTGCTAGGGAGAGATTTCCACACCCTTATAAAGGGTGTTTCGTTATCCTCCCCAACCGATGTGGGACATCACAGTTGTAATTACAAGGGACAGTACCAATGAGCAGCTAGAGTGGATAAGTTTTAATTACAAAAAGGTTA